TTATACATGCCTGCTAACAAGCACTGGAAATGGTCTTTAACATCTTTAAGCAGTGCAGAACAACTCAAATATCGTGACATAAAGAAACACCATTACGTGTGTCAGAAAGAGATCCAGACTGGATCACTAGAACTGAAAAGGACTCAGACTGACCAGGATGCACTTCTGTCATGCTGTGATCAGAACTCCAGTGTGGATTTTTGCCAACCTCAGATCATACTGGTAAAACTCCACATTATTATAATTTTTTCCCAGGCATTTGGTGTGTACTATGTTCCTTTGCAGCTGTATGTTCTCATAGCTGTCACACACCAACATTTCTCCCAAATTAGATACCAGATAATGTTTAACTTTGATAACATGTTAATATACTGACTCCCAGGCCAGAATGAGCTGAAGTCATTTCAAGCTCTAGACACAACCTTTGAAAGGCCTCATACACATGACACAATCAGAGCCAACAATGACTCCTATATCCCAGTCATAATCCAAGCTAAATACGGCTAACTTTGCATTTTCAGGGTTTAAAATCATAAGCTGAATCCTGATTCAGGTTGGGATTGGTATTTGCTGTTGTCAAAATGTTTTATTTTATAAAATCATTCCTGTGAACAAAAAATATAAAGTTTCCAAAGTCAGAGCTGATTTGGCTTTTTCTTCTCAACATCCAAATCAGGAGCTGGGGGCTTTGAACAGACAATCTGATCTTGACTTCACCTCCATTACAATGTGTGCTCATGATTTAAGATACTTGCAATAAGACTACAGGCAACCCAGAACAATAATTTGATAGAGCACTTCAAACGTGGTATCCTTTCTGTCCTGTGACACAGCAGAAAACAATTTTACCCTGTTTCTGCAGCAAAAGTCTTGCATTAACCTGAAACACTCCAAGCACTGCGTATCAAAGGTATCTGAGCACACAGCTTAGGGGAAAGGCTAAAGCATGACGATGGCAGCATTACCGATAGATACATCGGGATTCACACATAATTTTAAGGATCAAGTGTAAATGGCACTTTTATGGGTGAAAAGTAAGTAAGAGGACAGCTGTGGGAAAAGTTCCAGGGAAGAACTGGGAGACAAAGACAGCAACAATATAGTGTAACATTTACAGCAAAAAAAGACTTTTAAAATGTTCTAATGATTTAGGTTTTTGAAATTTCTTGGTGCAAATGTAGAAATATGAAGGCAATTTGCGACAGCTAGCTAAAATGAGATATGAAGGTAAGAACTGATGAAAGCAATGGATAATGTATGTCCCGAGAGAAAAAGAAAAAAGAACATTATAACAGCATAAAAATCAGAACAACTACAATAAATGTTGTTAAGGAAAAAAATGGAATGGAGCTGCTAAGCAAGGACTCAGTGAGACCATTAAATAACAAGAGTGGAAATTCAGTGACAGATGATGCTGATAGATTGCTGACACCCTGAATGGCTTTTTTTTGTCTCACAATTCACAAAAGAAGCTGAAGGTCACAGAAGAAAGCGTGGAATAAATTTTCCAGTAGGAAAGTGAAACATGAACGTGTCTTAAGATCACTTCAAGGTTAACAATTAGGAACTCAGCATAATTAAAACCTGACAAAGTTGTAGGTACAAATGAGTGATATCCCACAGAAAGCAACTCAGTATTGAAGAAAAAAGAAAAGCTGTCAGTTCTGAATAAGAGGATTACAGTCACGCTAATAACATTAAAATACTTCTTTCCTTCAAATTAAAAATGGGTGTTTCACAAAGTGAAAAGTCACTGAGGCTACCAGAGAAAGAAAGGAGTAGCCATTGCAGTATATGTCAGAAACACGTTAACAGAGGAACAGTGCTTTGAGCATCAAAGTCAGGCATTAGTAAAATCCAGCGTAAACAGTGTAAACTCAGGTTGGGATGTACATAAATTCTTCACTGATTTTGCTTCTGTGCAACTTCAAGTTAGGGAAAAAAGGCATTATATATTAACAGGACTCTAAAGGGAGAGACAGAAAAAAAAAAACAAAAAAGAAAAGCATCAAAGAGATTCTGAGAATTCAATATTTGAGTGGAGCTCATAACAGTTTGATAGCAGACCACAGAGAGTCATTGATATATACAAGGCAAAGGAGAAAGAAATGATCAGGGCTTAGTAGCTTGTAAACTCAAAGGCTAGAAATATGGATTAAAAGGTGAGGAACAGAATTAATTTGGGATATTTGGAATATTTACTTACAAAAAGCTGTCAGCAAATTCAGATGGTCTAACAAGAAAGACGATAGATTTTAAGATGAATCAGATATTGATCAGATTTAATACCTGGAGGAGGAAGAATCACTGAATTTTTTTACTTATGTGGTTTTCAAGTTTAACATTCAGTATCAAACTGTAGTTTTTTCCTTGGTGGCTGCTACTTCAACAGCCATTTTCTCTCAGACTTTTAGTAGAAAAGCCTAAAAAGATGTATTTTAAGGGAATAACACGTTTCAGTAACAACAAACACCAAGGACTGATACTGCATTCAACACTTAAATAGGTCATACATACAGCACAGTGTACTTGTTGGCAGTGATTCTATTGTTAAAGTTGCTTTGAAATTTGCACATAAAAGGACTAAAATGTCTCTGCTCCTTAATGTCTGAATTCAGTTTCCAAACTTGGATCTGTTATTCTTAAACAAACCCCAAAACTTTTACATAGTTTCGGATCAAAATACCTGTTAAGCATTGCAAAGGAACATCTCAGAATGCTTTGTCTTGAAATTCCGCCTTATCTCCCTGACATTCAGATGGCAGGTTTAGGAATTATCCCAATACTGCCTTCACAGACCACAGACTTCTGTGGAGCTCTCATGAATTTAATGTCCACAACACTACCAAAAACACTGGACTCAGAAGTTAGTTCTAGCACGGAGAATAATTGGAGTTTTGGTTCATTTCAGTAAAAGGAATTACTTAAACTCTTCAGGAATTTAAGACTTCTCATGTACTTTCCTTCCCTCACATATCAACTATATTCTGCACAGAGACTCCAATGAATCGATGAACATTATGGGAAAAGGGATAAGCAGAGATGGATGATGAAACAGGAGGAACAAGTGGGGCTTGGAGAACACATAAAGTGACAGCAACAAAGTTAGCAGACACCAGTGAAGAAGAAATATCGTGCAAAAGTCTTGATGTATGTGCTCAAGTCATCTCAACTTGAAAATTACTTCCTTTTATTTCCTGATTTTATATATCTTATTCTTAATTTCTAAAGTCCTTTAGTAATACTGTGCATTGCAAAAATTTTTAGCAAAAACTGTGCAGTACCAAACTTCAAGAAAGATAAACATACATTAAAGTTACTTCTATCAATATCTTCTAAGGTTTGGCTCATTTTAAGAGGAACTACATTGCCTACTACAAATTACATCACTTAATTATCAGTTGGATCCACCATTTTTCTGGAAAGAGTTCTGCACAAGCAATGCCCTTACATGCTACTATGTACATGGATGAATGCTTTGACAAGGACCTCCTGATTCTTTTAGATGAGAATGGGGCTACGTGCACACACAGAATGCAGGTATGTTATTTTCAGAGACCTGAAAACACCTGCTAAAAATAAAGCTGTATTTTCACACACACACATACATATATAAGTGTATTTGTTCACTCATATTTCATATACATGCACAAAGCTATTTTAGAGAAGAAAAGAGCTCTTACCTGCTTCACCACTGTCACAGTGCCAGGTGCCATTGTCACTACAGAAGCAACTGCAGTGGCATCATGAGTTTCCGAACCCAGCTCAATGATTTGCTGCAGGATGTTCACAGCTGTTGGATCAAGTCTTTCACCTTATCAGAAAGACAGTAACCACATGATCATTACAGGAAAACAGCCCTAAGGGTAAGTGAATCTGAGTGCTACAGGCATTCTTTCCTCTCCTGCCTTAACCCTGACTCCCAGCACTGTTTATAAATTTCAAATAGCTCAATAACGTGACACTTTAATAATAGATCTACGGCAGGAAAGTATTCACAAAACAAATTTGCCTGAGCAATGCATGAATCAGCAAGTGAAGCCCCACTGATCATTTTTATGCCTATTTGAAAGAGATCTAAAGGAATACATTGACTGAACAAACAACAGGTACAACTCACAGCAGTTACTGCAAATGAGGAAACCGCAAGACTTCACAAATCCAAATGTATATTTGCCAGACATTCAGCTTAAACAGAACCTGAACTCTATAGCTATAACCATAAGAGTTATTTGGTATATTACAAACCTGTGTTTACCATCTGTCTGGCCATCTGCAATACACCTCAACCTAAAAGAAGCACTATTATCACTAACGTGCTGAAGGGAAAAGTTAATTGCTCCAGAGAACTCACACTTATCATTTTATAAGCATGGGATCAGAACATGTAAGCCCTTTCTAAAAATCCTCTTGATGTGTGTAGCCCCGCCGAAGGAAAGGCAAGTTTGCACAAAAAACCCCATACATAGTTGTACTCTTACTTCTCCTAAGTGTGAAAAGGAAATTTTTGGATGCTGGGAAATGTTTTTCATTACACAGGAATACAAATTCCCCTCCTGTGGCCCACCACTCCCACATGCCCAGTGTCAGCTTGAGACGTGTCAGAAAGTGAAAGAAAATGTCAGGGTCACGTTAAAGCTGCCTTATATTTGCTGTGATCACTGTTGGAACTAGCAAAGAGACAGTAAATAGAACAAAGCTCATCTCTTAACCCCAAACCCTTTCAAACTGAGGTCAATACTGTGATGGGCATCTAAGTTGGATAATTTCATTTCAAACAGAAGGTACTTATATTTCATTATATATGTAAGAAACAAGCTTATCTGAGCCCTGAAAAGTGTTTGCTTACTTTACTTTTATTTTTTTTTCCTATATAACTGCCTTTAGACTGTTTTTCATACCTAGAGGGAAGAGTATCCTAAGTTTGATGCACTAAAAAGCAAATCATTCTACTTTGACAACTACGGCCTTGTGCTTAAAATCAAAACTGTTAGGTACAGTATACTCATTGATCATGTTTATTTTAATATATAAAAGCTTAATAAAAGTTCTCAAGACATTTTTACTAATTCAGAAATTTCCAGTTCTTAAAATAAAATAATATATAAAAATTGTCAGTAATGTAATTTAATTGCAACAGGCTTGGAAATTCCATTAAAGGTGGGAGGTTTTGAAATGTATCTGTATTATGAAGTATAAAGACCATGATGGTAAACAATTGTAAAATGCTGTCTTTTGATAATAAATGCATTTACTTATATACACACATACAAAAACAAAACATATGAATATCTACTCTAGTCTCTGCTGTTTTAACACTCTCAGGAATGTGGATTCTTTTTCTTTTCTTCCAGTTTTTGTTATTTCCCACTTAGCAATCATTGTCTAAACCCACTCTTGTTCTTCCTCACTCTGATATAGAATAGCTTACTTTGTTTTGTGTATCATCAGAATTAAGTTTGTTAGTTCTGTCTTGGGATCATGGTAAATGAGCTTTTCCACCGTGTCACTCCTGAGGCTGGCTGACTTAAGCAGGGAGAAAAATAATAGCTAGTGAATTGTCATTAGATACACCCCATCTACTCTGCCAAGATAGCTGATTTCACAATATATTTAATAATACAGGCAGGAAATTCCACACATCTAATAATGAAGTACAAAACAGAGTGTGATAAGTATTAATGACTTAAAGATACAGCAATTCATAAAGAATGGTCATTTCCCTTTACGCTGAAAGAAAAATATAAACCCCACAAGTAAGTTCTGGATGACAAATATCATCACTTTTAATAGTTTCACAGGAGCTCATATATTGCCCAGTACACTCAAAAGAATTCAATATTTATGAAGAAAGATCTGGTTTGTGTTCTAACCTAAAAAAAGGTAACTTACCGTTCTCAGAAGTATATCTAAGGTTCTGTAACGCAGCTACCGCAGCTTGAGTGCCTTGAACATATTCTCCAGCCTCTGTGATATGGAGATACTGAGTGGATGCTTCTTCAGAAACCTCAGCAGTTAACTTGAAAACAAAACCCAGCCAACGCGTGAATAACCTCTCTTATTTTAGCAATGCAGAGATCAACAAATGTTCTGAATTTAAAGGAATGAGTTTTGGACAACAAATACTGTAACAAGAGTTACAGAAATACTGGATGAAACAGAATTCAAGAAGAACATTACGCAGGAGCCAGGATATCATCCTATAGCTTTTCTTCAAGGTTCTGAGTCAAAAGTTGTTTTAAGCATCTTAAATTATTTTTATTTCATTTTTGTTGCAGTTATTTTAGAACTAACACCAGACTTCTATTGTATTGGCATGTAGTAAAGACCTTTTGGGCAAAATTAGTTTATAATACATGTCCTTGAAGATCCAGGTAAACGCCTCTCAAGTTTGAAAATGACATTTTGGTTTAGAAAAATGATCCTTTCCATGACTCTGTTTTCTCAAGACAAGCTGTCAGCATGTATTCCTGCTCTGATGGGACTTCTTTATTTACAACCATTTCAATGGCAGAGACATGCTTGCATCCTGGATGTCCTCTGATTTTTTCAGGTTTGGGCATCTACCAGGAGAGTGAAATGCATGTGGATACAAGACTTTAAAGGACTACATTTTAAAATGCTTGCCCTGTCTTCTTTGAATAAGTGTCCATCTAGAACCTACTCTGATATTTTTCAAGGACTTAACATTCTACCTGTGGATATTCAAAAACTGTTGAACAAGAACTGTGCGACAGCTCTTTCAAATCAGGCATTAGATTTATAACGGGGGCTAGACTGCCTGAAATTTAGCTAGAACAGGTCTTAAACTGTGAAGGTCAGCCAACTGCAGTTGACTTCTGCTTTTTACTCTCCTTGGACACCAACGATAGGCTGCTCAGGCAGTGGAAGAGACTCAGCTTGCCAAATGTAATTTTTAAAATAAAAGTATCTAGATAATTCTGTGGTTATCCCATGGCTTCTGCGTGTACAGTTGGCTCTGCTCTAGAAGAGTAACAGTTGTCATTTTAGAACAAATTGCTATGTGTATGACAGCAGAGGAAAGTCTGAAAGGGGAAGCCCTCTCCAGGTGGCTGCCTTACCCACCACAAACTGAGAAAATTCAGGTTGTTGGTTTTTTTCCTTTTTTTTTAACCCAGCTTCTTAGGTCTAACTTAAATTTTCAAGATCTTATCTTAGTGATAGTGTCATTTCCTATATAATTTAGATTGAAGCTGAAAACACAGAACAAATGATAGAACACTTACTCTGTGTAACTACCATTTTTTCAGCTGATCAATTTACAATTTCAGTTTTCTAGACCAAGACATAAACCTTTTTTTTCATTAATTCAATATAAGTTTGCAGCTTTGCACATCTTGTAGTTATCACCAGAAAATATTTGGCATATAACAAAATGCAGTAAGTTTTTCAGTTTCACCATTTTTTGCTAAAACTTTCACCCTTTCTGCTGCAAACAGAGGCCAAGAACCTTAAAATGCAGAAATAAGCTTACAATGTTGTCAGTCGTACCAGATATTAAAGCAGTCAAGTAGAGCAGTGTATGCATTCAAAATGGAGATGAGAGATAGCATCCTTACTTTTCTCCCTAGAACTTTTTAACATCTTAGGGCCAAAGCCATGGTAACTTTGCTTTACCTCCCACTTGCTCTCCCCATCGTGTTCCACTAGCTTCATCCCATGCTTGTTCTTCAGATGTCTATTGAATTCCCACTTTGTACCGTACACAAAGCTGCAAACAGGACACTTAATGCCACCTACAAGGAAACACAAATAAATTCCTTGAGTTATTTTAATATAAATTATTTTTCAAGGCAGTAAGGACCCATTTAATTTGACCATCTCAGTCAAGCCAAGTAAGTGTAATTCAAAAAGGTTTCCTTTAGCCATGTGTCTAACATGAAAAAAGGGGGGGTGGTGAGGAGGAAAGTGACCTTCTCTGGGTAATCCTGCTCTGGCAGGGGGGTTGGACTGGATGATCTTCAGAGGTCCCTTCCAACCCCAACCATGCTGTGATTCTGTGAAGTATTGATTTCATCTCTCAGGTGTGAGATGTTAAGGGAGACAGCCAGGCTATAACACAGAACATAAAATGTAAAGTAAATAACAACTTACCTGCTCTGCTAACAAAAGCCATTCTAGAAGTGGCATTAAAGTGGGTAAAGATTTTTCAAGGAATGACAACACGTCAAGTTTGACCAACACCACTCTGTTTTTGCTTGACCACAAAAAACTAGCAAACCTAGGAGATGCTTCAGCCTGTGCAGAATCATTCCCACAGTCTTGATTCTGGCTGAAATTCAAGTTCGGCAGCACCAATGGAGCCCTAGTTTCCAAGTGAAATTTCTTCCAAGTCTGAGGTTGTCTATGACTTTTATGTCCTGCTTTAAGTCCACCATAAACAAAGCCTAGCACATATTTTAAATAATTCTGAACTAATGCTTTTGCTCTATAAATACTCTTTTATTTAAAATCATAGAGTTCCTTAGAGACTATTCTAATGCCTGGTCCATTACATATCATTGCGGCTTTAAATGTAAATTGTATCAATAGCTCAAAAATCTACAAGACTGGGGTCTCTGATAAGCTTCTGCTTTAAATATTGGTTCCCTGTTGTCTTACAAAGCCCTGCTGCGCTGGCCTTCAGGGCACAACACAAAACCATAGTGCACATTACTCTTTTGGTAAGTGCTAGGATATTTTTTAAGTGCTTATAAACAACATTGAGATCTTAATATTTAACATACACAGTAGTGGCAATACATAGACAGTAGTTTTATTATTTCTTTAAAAAAACGTATCTTCTGTAAGACAGCTGTTCCAGTTTTCTCAAGTTTCAAACAAACAGTAAGTTTTCTGGCACATTATCAAAGCAAACCAGGGGGAGTTGACAATGTAATGTCATCTCCACCCAACTATCTTTGCTTTTGAGAGTTTCTACTGTTTATGTTAATATACAAAACTGCAAACTTAAGTTTTCTGCCTCTCTACAAAATGATGCATAGCACAAATTTTGCACAATGTTTCCTGCCTGAGTCTGCAGCATTACAGGTAAAAAACAGAACATGACAAAATCATAAACATTCAATTTTCTACACTAGATTAAACAGCTTTTACTTCTTTTTCTTATGAAAGTCATTTGGTTAAATGTCAGATCTCAGTTGCTTGTAATTATGCAAATCTGTATTTCCATTTTTTCCCCCTATTGTCTAAAGCAGAACAAAAATAATCTGCATGTGATAAATGGTCACATGAGGTGACCAGAACTCCCTCTAACAAACCTAACGGCTAAGGAAGGGCGTTGTGCCACTTTAGGAACTGTGTCACCAGATGGCTGTCTCCACATTATCACGGCAAACGATGACTCTCACCCATCATGTTCAAATGCTTCAAATATACTCCCATCAGCTGCTTATAAGCCAAGGCCTCATTGCACACAGTCTTTTATAAATAAGATGATTAGAAAAAGCATTCTCCTTCAGAGTAATGGAAACCTTCCATATGGTCTTCTACCAGGTAAAAAGGAATACACTGTTTATTTCGATAAAACAGAATATAACTACACCCAGTCACTAGGGTCTTTCACTGGCACTCATCATTCCTACACAATTTCCTCTCTTTGCTCTCAATCTATTGTAAGTCTTCACCAGACTTCACTGTTATAGCAGAGATGTTCAATAGTCCATCTCTAGACTGAAATATTTTCCCTATTAGGGGAAACTCAAAAGTTCACAAAAGCAAAATCCCTTTGTTCAGATTAGGACAAATATATTATCAGTTACTGGGAATGAAATTAAATATTCATTTCACACCAATCTGTAGTATTAAGAAAAACCTGCTGCTGTGAAAGAGAGGACACTTTTCCACAGTATTTGATATTGAAACTATTATAACAATACACGAGATAAATTAAAGCTGTAACTTCTGTCATTATGACTTTAATTAAAGAACAAATAGTAGAAGCATAGAATTAAACTGGTAATATATAACTTCACAGCAGGGACTTGATATGAAAGCTCAGGAAAATTAATTTCTAGATGATTCTTTAAAGTAATGGGTAACACAGAGAGTCAATGAATTATACACCTTATCTACTTTCAATAGCAAACCTGTTGTCTGCAACAAAATAGTGCACAGGAATATTATACAGCTCCATAATTTTTTTCCATCGCGGCATTGACACATGCTCTCAAAACAACTTATTTATTGGCCTACAGTCTCCATAAAACACCTGTTATTTCATGTTAAAAGAAAGCATGTAGTATAATGGAATGCAGAGGCCACAACTGGAGCATCACATATGGACTGCACAAATTTGCTGCATAAACGTAAATAGAAAATCCATCTCCCAGGAAGTGAAGAAACAAATAAATGAAACAATGGATGGTAGGGAATAACAGTGAAAAGAAAAAAAAATCTGAAAAATCTTCACGTGACTGGCCCATATTTTATGTGACATGGTGCAAAGCAAATGAAACTAAAAAAGGAAGCTATCAAATGAGCAAGTAAGCAGGGTCTCACAAAAAAGCAGTGGGTAATGCATATATAATACCCTTGTCCCCTGTGCAGAACATATTTAAATTTTACGATATTTATTTTCCTTTATTACTTTAAAATACTAAAAAATAAGTCAGATCATAGACTTCTATTTAAACAAACCAACCAACCAACGACAAAAACCCCAAACATTTTTCTGATCCTGGCTGATCCTAATTTCTAATATAAGCCCAGAAATTAAATACTGCTGTCTATCCCTGGCAAAGCAGTTGCTCAAATGAGTACACTCCCTCTTCTATTCTATGAATCATTCATTTATTTATAAACTCATTCTAAGAATCTTGAGTAGAGTCCAGCAGTCTACATTCATATAAATATTTCCAATTAAGATTACTCGCAACGTCTGCAATGCAGTCAAAAACCAGTTGAGAGTAGAGAAGATGAGCAAGCGTGAGCAATTCACTCTGGGATCCATGGGTAACTTAGAACAAGCAGAATAGGAAAAGATGAGTAGATCTAGACAGCTTTTATTAGAAGTTAATATTTGTTAATTTTCCTTCTCACTTCTTCTCAAACCCTTTTCCTTATTGGTTCTTCTGCCTTTTCCTTTTCATCTACAGTCCTTTAATTTCAAAGGACTTGTTTAATATCAGGTCTGAAGGGTCTTCTTCCCTTATAGGAATACATGAATAATTTTCCAAAATTGCTTTTCAGATCTATGAATATGGTAAATTTGAACTTGATAGAGGCTAGACAGACAGCAAGGTGCAACTGCTGGCCCAAGCAGCTCAGAAGCACATACCTTCTCATACTGCACATTGTGTCCACGATGATCTGTTTGTGCTGTGTTACCCGGATACACACAATCTTGTGATTCCAAAATCAGGAAAATCTTTATTAACTTCAATAGGGCTCATGTTTATCAACTCCAAATGCAAATCCTAATCAACTCAAGTCTCCTACAAGGAACGTCTTTTTTTTTTCCCCAGTGAGATACCAAAGATACACTGGGAAAACTAATGTTTCTACAGTGTGATAAGGAATCTGCAGGTCTCCTGTTTTTATTTTGAGCCCACATCTAAGATCCATATGATGAATCATACAGCAGGAAAAGGAGCTGGCCAAGGAGGCTGCATGTGGGAAAAGTGCACCTACTGACATGGCTTTCTTCATGGCTGAGTCCTGATAAGAGGCACTGACTCACAGCTACTACAGGGATCTGAAGCTCCTTTACTGCTCTAAAACTGCAAGCAGCAGGTGAACATGTGGAAAGTAGGCACAGCACTGGTAGTAGCACAGGAAATATAAATGATGTGTAAGGAAGGGAAGAGAAAGAGTCAGAGATGGAAAGAACAGAATAGACAATTTCAGTGGGAAGGGACCTAAAACAATCATCCAGTCCAACTGTCAGACCATTTCAGGCCTGACCAAAAGTTAAAGCATGTTGTTAAGGGCACTGTCCAAATGCTTCTTAAACACTGACAGGCTTGGGGCATTGATCACCTCTCTAGGAAGCCTGTTCCAGTGTTTGACCAACCTCTCCAGCTTTGTTGCTCTCCTATGGATACATTCAATGGCTTTACCATCCTTCGTAAATTGTGGGGCCCAGAACCGCACACAGTACCTGAGGTACACACCAATGCTGAATACAGCGAGATAATCCCCTCTGCTGACCATCTGGTCATGCTGTGTTTGATGCACCCTAGGATGTGGTTTGCCTTCTTGGCTGCCAGGGCACGCTGCTGACTCCTGTCAAGCCTGCACCAACCAACGCCCCCAGGTCTCTTTCTGCACGGCTCCTCTCCAGCCACTCAGAATCACAGAATCACAGAATATTAGGAGTTGGAAAGGACCTCAAAAGATCATCCAGTCCAACCCCCCTGCCAGAGCAGGATCACCCAGACCAGGTCACACAGGAACGTGTCCAGGCAGGTTTTGAATGTCTCCAGAGAAGGAGACTCCACAACCTCTCTGGGCAGCCTGGGCCAGTGCTCTGGTACCCTCACAGTAAAAAAGTCTTTCCTCATGTTCAGATTGAGCCTCCTGTGCTCCAGCTTGCTCCCATTGCCCCTTGTCCTGTCATTGGCTGTCACTGAGAAGAGCCTGGCTCCTTCCTCCTGACACTCGCCCTTTACAAATTTATAAACATGAATGAGGTCACCCCTCAGTCTCCTCTTCTCCAATCTAAAGACACCCAGCTCCCTCAGCCGCTCCTCATAAGGGAGATGCTCCACTCCCTCCATCATCTTTGTGGCTCTGCACTGGACTCTTTCAAGCAACTCCTTGTCCTTCTTGAACTGAGGGGCCCAGAATTGAACACAATATTCCAGATGCAGTCTCACCAGGGCAGAGTAGAGGGCAAGGAGACCCTCTCTGGACCTACTCACCACAGCCCTTCTGATACACCCCAGGATGCCATTGGCCTTCTTGGCTACAAGGGCACAGTGCTGGCTCATGGTCATCCTGCTGTCCACCAGGACCCCCAGGTCCTTTTCTGCATGGCAAAAATTAAAGAGCATTGTCTCTCATCTCACTTTAATGCCTTAATAATAAATCTACTCCTGCATTCTCAACAACTTTACAGGCTTTTTGTTTCAGTGGAAAATAATTCTTTTCAGAAGTGCAATTATCTGGCTCCCAAATGGGAAGGAAAACTTAATTAGCATATGATTAACATTATTTCTTCAAAACATTATAAATACAATCTTTTATTTCATGTTAACAGAATTCAGTCTTAGGTACCTATTCTTAAGACTGGCTATGGACAAATAATTCCTTTCGGTGCTCAGACATTTGGAAAGTTAAACAAAGCTCCCCATAGTGCACAGTTCAAACAAAGGAACATCTTCCTTCAAACAACAACAGCCAGGCATAGAACTTTTTATTATACCATGTAAATGTGGTAAAAACTACTACAATCTGAATTTTTCTTCACCCTGGCATTAGTGGACTTCGCTGCATTAGGTTTACAGCTGGGCTCGATGATCTCAAAGGTCTTTTCCAACCTAAACAATTTGATAATAATTCTGTTTCATTTGCTGTTATACTTAATCTTGAATTTTTGATCCTCCCCAAAATCTCTGTTGCCTTTAATCAGTTTATCAGTGACAGCAGTTTCTCTAATTGACCAGGTGTCTATATCTAAGTAGTTTCATTTGCTTTTGTCTTTGTGTGGTACGACTACAGCTTTACACAGACAACAGTAACAAGCAGTTTTTCTAGGCAGAATGAGATATTTAGGACCCTGACACATAGAGGTAATGTAGAGAAATATAGACCTGGTATGGCAGCCTTGAGAAGTAGAGACACAGGATGCAGCACAGAGGAGGGCAGGGATGGAGAGATAAGAAGTGGGACACAAGCTTGGTACTGAAGAACCCACAGCTATAAACAGCTCAGAAATGATTGGTTGAAAATATGCAAATCTATAGCTGGATAAAACCAGTTTTAAGGACAACAAAAAACAGTGTTTAACACACATGAAGGGCAGTTTAGACAGTAAATTTGGACTTAATCTGGAGCTACAGTGCATGAAAAAGAAAAGCATGAATGTGTGTACAGAAGCATGTAGCAATGGCCCCAAGTGAAAGGGGAGAGGGAGATGAAACCATCAAGATGAACATCAAACTCCTCCCAGTGAAGAACTCCAAATGCTGACAACTTACTGAATCCTCCATTCCAATGTCAACACCAGAGGGAAACCACCCACCTTAGGACTCAGAAAAACAGTGGAAGGGGGATTGGGCAAAGGAATGAAAATTAAGAAGTGTGTGTGTTGTACCATTTAAATTGTATTAATATAAGTACTCTAACTATATTTTATTATTTTTAAATGAAAATTGAACCTAGATTAATGATGATTCTTGAATTAGACCCTTAAGACTTCCATTTGCTTCCTTTGACCATAAACAAGATCCTGAGCACAACAGTTTGTAAGCCATTTTACCTCTACTCTCTTCTCTCTCCCATTTTTTTAGTGGAGGAATAATTTGCTGCCATCGACTCTTCAGCCTCTTTCCTTACATTTCCTCAACCTTACCTTGAGTTCAACCTTGCAAAATTGTCATAGAAATTTATCAGTAGAATGATAGAAATTTATCATTCATCTCAGCAGGCACTGGTACTTTACTTACAAAGGAGACAAACAAGTGAAAATGATAAATGTATGTAACAGTGAATAGTACAGGCAAGGTCAATCAAAACTTTGGTTCACCCATCCTGAGAAACCAAGACAAGTAGTAATGATTCATCACATAACACCCAATGAGCTGAGGAATGTACATCATATGAAAGTTTACCTTGACACCAAGTTTGCTTCAGCAAAAAAAAATAACAAATCTTATATGGCAGAGATGTACCTTGTTGGATAAGAGCTTCTGCTGCAGGCTCTCCAGAACCTACGTTTACATACTCTTCATTAGGATGCTTTCTGTTGTAATGCCTCTTCAGGGAACCAGATATGTTGCAGGAATAATGGCAATGTGCACAACGGAAAGGCTAGGAGCAAAAAGGGAAACGTTAGAATGTATTTCCTGACCCCTTCAGGATACAGGTCTAAGCTGCAATGATCCTGAGGAACCATATTCATTTCTGGTTCAGGCATCTTCCAAGGAGACCTTTCAAAATTCAATATAAATGGAGGTTTAACTACATGGTACCTAAAATTTGGTTCCTTTTATTATATGCAAGACATCAAGCATTCTCAGCATTATAAGATTGTTACCAACTTTTCGTAATACAGTAAACTGTGTGCTTTCATAATTGATGTTCACAATTTTGACCACGTGGAGACTTTCTAGTGCAAGAAAATGGCTCAGCTGCCGTGAGCTTTGGTCTGAAAAGGGGGTGTAAGGGAGCTAAATAACTGAAGATACAGTATGATTGTACAGCCAACCTAATTTAACAGATAACCATACCTGAACAGGGTTGATCTCTTCCCTTTCCTTTCCTCCTCTCTCCAACATGCTCCCAAGTGCTTCCCTTTCACTGGCACTTGCATTCATCTGGCCATTTGGTGAGCTAAGTTTTGGAAACTAAATTACTTTTTAAGAACACATGACTTCCTTCAACTGGCAGGGAGACACATTTCTAAAGAGAAAAGTTTAGGAAAACAAGCATTTGTGCCTAAATTTAGCCTTTGAGAATAAACTTCTGACTGAGGAACGTCGCAGTTATTGGAAGCTCGACACAACCATTAGGGTCCTGGAAAAGATCGCAGACACTGACCAAAGTCCTTGGGGAAAAGTTAAGTACATTAGAATGGGATGCAAAATGTTTCATGCACAGCAACGAGGCCCACCTAAAGCTGGCCAGCAGAAAATGGGTGATACAGAAACGTTTATTAAGAAGGTGAATCTAAAGTGGGGAAATGTATGCAGTCAGGTTCCACTGACCAGAACATTCCTCTAAGCTTCTTGCTCATGACCTTCCTTCAGGCTCCAAACAGCAAGAATAAGGAAGAAAAGTGGTGTTCAGATTCCCTTAACCTTACAGGCCAGAGGGTACTGCCACATTCAGCTATTCAGTTTTTCAGAGGGATACTCTCCTTTTCTATTGCTGAAACTGCCTTTTCTTCAAGAAAATAATCCACAGACTATCGTTTTCTTGTACCACTCTCTACACTACACACTTGCACGTCCTGTATGTTATCTGCTATAGGACAGCAGGATTGCAAATCGGTGGTGCTTGGAAATATCATGGATTAGGAAATATGATGGATTAAATTGTCATTAGGTCACATAACAACTGTCCCAGAAGGAGGCAGCGTGTTACTAACAGACAGAGTTTTAATTCATTTTGAAAAATATTCCTGATTGACCTATTTCAGTGTTTTGCAGTTCTCTTGCTAATGCACTGAATCGCCACACTTATGTGCAGGCTGAGAGAGGACAGAAAAGAGGTGCTGAGTCAACAGTTTAAAAGCTGATTGCAAGGTCAGAACCAGCAATATTTCAGAAACTGCCTAATGCATACATCCATCCCGTTTGCCTTTAAAAAAGTGCATTGGTGTATTTTCATTTACAAAAAATTCTTTTTAAAAAATATTTTCACAGCAAACCTATATATTTAAGGAAGAAATTTTTTTTGTTCAGAATGTATCATCTCTTTAGATGATTTGCTTCATTTCTCATATGTCTTGTCTTTAAAATTTAAACCATGAATCAAAAGACTGTCTTCCTTTCTCCTTTACAGAGGTATGCAGCATTGGTACTTGTTAAGAATGGCTGAAGTGTACTCTTTATAGAATCAAAATGATTTGTTAGATAATGAAAGATGTTGCGTATTAAACTAGTATGATGTTTTCACTAAGAAATATGCTCATTGCCAAGATAAAGTGTTATATTAAAATGAACAGTTTCATACATACAAAATACCAGATTTTTCTGGAAAAGAAACGAGTACCATTTCTATTTCCTGAATATAACATTTCACAATTCATTACATCAAAACCTACCATGCTGAGAAACAATGTGAAATTTAGGAACAAAACCATACTACAGTTTATTAAAATAAACCATATCTCTAATCTAAACACTTCACAGACACATTAACAGTCTTCAAAACTCTTTCCAAGACATATTTCAGATAAATGGAGTGTCTTAAAATTAATTCCCTTCAATTTTGCTCAAGCATATGGACTTATCAATAGTATATTAGACTGGTAAACTTTCAGAGAAAATTAAGGTTGGCCATGAACAGTGATGTATGGGATTCACTTTCCTACTTCCTCAGGACATTTTAAGGTACATATTAGATTAGATCTCTCAAGGACTGACAGTCAGAAAAAAACAATAATGTTTGGTTCATATTGCAACACACATATATTTTTGGCAAGTAAAGATACTAATTACAAATTGTACACAAACAAAATAACCCTGTCTCAGAAGTCTGAATATAGTCAAAATTCCCCAAATATTAAAATGTTAAGATGCCATAATTGTGAACAAACTGGAAAATATTCCAGTTTTAAAACTGTTGTCTGAAGTTCCACATAATTGAGTTATTAATAAGCATAGTTTATACGGTTTTTTACCTTGAAAGAGACATGTTGTTCCATATGACGTAGGAGCTGAGGTTTTTGGGCAGCTGTATAGTCACACACTGTACATTTAAACTGCTTTCCTGAAATGGGAATAGAAAATAGAATCACTTTTTCTATTTAAATTCAAAAAACTACTGATTCCATTTCCTCATAAGGATGATTTCCAAAATGCTAGGAATGAACAATGGACCTGCTCTGCAAAATTTTGGTTAAAGAGTGCTAAGAGCAGAAAGGAAGAAAGAAGTCTTGCGTGTCATCTTTAAATTATAAGCATTAAATAGTCTAGATGCTCCTGGGACAGTCACTTCAGAGAAAAGAAAAGGAATCATTATAGTGTAGCCTAAATGGAAGAAGGAGATCAATTATTTACAACTGCAGGCACAGTTATTTTGCTATTTGTAAAGCAGATTTGAAAATCCTCAAAACATAGATGTTTGGTCACGTTCAGATGTGTTCCAAGCACTGAATTGTTATGATGGAAATACATTTAAATTTTCTTGGTTTTTCCACTGTAAGATCTCTTGATGTATTTCTGGTAGGCTATGACATGACCTATTCTTTTTACCACAAGATTTGGTTATGCATTTAACGCTACTCTTCCAATAATGACTCAAACTATCATAAAAGGGTTTTCTACACTGGCCTACCCCTGGAGAAAGGGAGAAGTAAAATATGCTAGAGATGAAAATAAGATTAGAATGGCAAATAATACAGCGGTTTTGTGTTTCCACCTTTCACAGAATCACAGAATATTAGGAGTTGGAAAGGACCTCAAAAGATCATCCAGTCCAATCCCTGCCAGAGCAGGATCACCCAGACCAGGTCACAAAGGAACACATCCAGGTGGATTTTGAATGTCTCCAGAGAAGGAGACTCCACAACCTCTCTGGGCAGCCTGGGCCAGGGCTCTGTCACCCTCACATTAAAAAAAAGTTCTTCCTTATGTTCAGGTTGAGCCTCCTATGCTCCAGCTTGCACCCATTGCTATCATTTCACTGGGGCTTACACAATCTTAAAACAATGGGCACAAATTGCTCCATGAACATCAGATTGAATGATGCCTGCTTGCCTTGTTCATCAAGACATTTAGTCCTTTCTCATATAAATGTATGCACTAACCTGAAGTCTCACATACAGTCACACAGGGCAAGAGAAAGTACATACTGGGACCAGTTCACACTTTATATGTGGTGACTTAGATGCTTGTGGTGTGTAATACCAGGGGTAATGAGTATGTTCTGTAACCTGTTCTTGGAGAGCGCTGATTCGTATTTCTTCATTTCAACTGGGCACAAATTTTCAAATTTATGGAGTTAAAGTAACTGCTGCACTTCTACACTGATTCAAAAATCATAGAGTGGACCGGAAAAGAGGTAACAAAAATGGGTGCATATCTGTATAAACATTGCTCCTTCACATACCAACCTAACAAGTCACTGAAAGATCTGGGACAGTATCTGTCTCTCAAGTACTTGGCAGACTGAAAGTCTGCACTGAAGCAGGTCTTCTACCTAGCATAACACAATTAAATAGAGCCAACGCAATTTATAGATATTGCTTTGTGAAAAAAGCATTACTTTAGCTTAGAAGTCTCATCCAAAGTGTTACTTTAATTTCTACAGACAACACATTATACTTGAAATATATATTATACTTGAAAGCCTGTATGCTTTCTAGGCAGGCATCAGTACTGAAGGCAACCTGAAAAAGCATCAGTAAAATCAAAGAACAAGTACTGGAATTTCAACTGATGAAAGCTCATGCTCAGAACATTCAATCTAAAAATGAAGCCAATATTTTTAACAGAGGGCAAGATTAATCACTATGCCAATTTACTTAGAAACCAGATAGATGCCCTGTCATATGAAGTCTTTAAATCAAGTCTGCTTAGCCCTTCCTGAAAAGATAGACTACAATCCAGCAGAAATGTGATGCAAAATTATTAGATTAAGTCATGGCCTGTACTCTGCAAGACATCAGACTTCATGACTGCAAGAGTCTGCATCCTTTTTAAGGCAAGATGGTCAGATTCTGTCATGATATATTTTTAGGATTCTCTGACAGGAATGAATTCTCTCTGACACTTTCGAGAAACATCTGTTGCTGTTCACAGCTTTGCAAAGACAAACTCCCAAACTTCTTACCATTCTGTAGGTTTCTCTTACTTTCCCTTCAAACCATTCGCTCTCCCAAATATTTTCCTTACCATTTAAAATAACATAATTTCCTTCCTTTTATTCTCTGGCTTTCATACTCCCTTTCTCCATATTTTGTCTTAAGGTTCTATCAGTCCTGCTACCTCCAGTCAAATTACAAGGTGTATTGAATACTAAAAGACTGCATTCTTGTATTAAATGTCTATGGCTGGCAAATTGTATCAGACTGACATGGAATAAATATGTGCAAAAAACTACTCCAAAAGGAAAAGAATCAAAACGAAGGGTGGAGAAGTACAATACAGTATATTCTGTATTATCCCAAAGAGATCAGGTTTCTTTAGATTCTGGATCTTGCTCAAAAAAGTTACAAGCATTTTATACAGAGTGTGAAAGTTTCCATAAAACACAGCCAAAAAAACATTAAGACAATTTCTGATACCTAATTAAAATAACGAAAACCAGGTTTTCAGGTTTATTTCTAATCACAAACAGTAATAAGCCTGGGCTACCCAATTGTTTTCTATCATGGAGAAGAATAAAACAGACAGAAAACTGCTTTATATTCCACTGGTTAAACTGACCTTGCAGGGCTCATATTTGAACAAAAATTGCCTGGATTCATAAATCAGGAAGACAAGACTCATAAACAGTGACACGGCTTTCAAATTCCTTTATTTGTGAAATAACTGAAGAAAAGGAGATGTGCGCTACCAAGAACTTCTGAAGTGCTGTCACTGTAGAAAGGGACACTGGGCAAAGGGAAACTGTCAGCATTCAAGAGGCTCAAAGTCCCTTGACAAATCACACGCTACATTTTTAGTGACAAATGTTATCTTACTTTTCACAAGTGTTTGAAATGTATGAAGAGTTTACAAGTGCAGACTTAGTGAGGAAAATTAAGTCGGACTCCAGAGATAGTGAGACTCTGTTCCCACTGGAGCCAATGGCAAACCGCATTTTTCAAGGGTACAAGGAATTTTCCCAAACACTTTTGGAAGTGCAACAAGCAAAGCAAAAGAGTATCAAATATTATATTTATTTATATTGGTCAGAAAAGGAGGTGGAACAACAAGGAACACGCAGTTCTCTCAGTTATTGCAGAAGATGATGACAGTCTGATGCCAGATAAAAAAGGCTACTGGTAATAACACTGTCTCTTGAGTCAAGGCTTCAGCCTGACCCAACGGTAAATGATCAGAGAATGTAGTTCCTTGCATGCAATTAAATGTTTAAAACCAACTTCACACCTTTAAACTGAATCCAGACAAGGCTAGCTCCTGCACGACTATTCTTAGCAGTGCTGAATTTTCAAAGCAGCCTCAGCTGAACTGCAATAATTACTTACACAAGTATTTCTTTTGTTCAAGAAATAGAAATAACTCGCAGGCAAAACCAAGTTCAACTTCCACTGCTGAATTTCAGTACTTGGACACACCAGATGGTGAAAACTAAACAGAAAGGTTTACAAATGAAACCTTATGTGGGGATATTTTTAAGAGCACCATAAAAGAGAGTTGTTTTCTTTTCTTTATAGTCTGATCGTACTCCAATTTTTCAATTCAAATACAACCTGCCTCCTTCTCCAAGATGGGAATGAGCTGAGAATTGCATTTGATAAGGAAAATCTTGACTCTTGCATATGAAGTTCAGATGTATGTGCAACACCTGCTTGCTATTGACCAAGTTATTTCAAAATATTGAAAAGTACTTTTTGAATAATGAGTGTTTACTCATGGTAACACCACAGTAACTTTGGTAATACCACAGTAACTATATACCTCCTATAATATATATCATGCAAATGTAAAAGGGATCACCTCTTTCACTAATATTATACATACAGATACAAAGATACAGAAAAATAAACATCTTTGACAAAAACTTCACACATATTCTAAAGATGTAACAGAGCATTGTGTGCATTCTCTGGGAGGACAATGCTAATGAATATACAATGTTTTAAAAAAAATAATTTACATTAAATAGTCAATAAAGAGTAGAATGAGGTTTTGCAAGGTTTCACGAGTAACAAAGATGAAGCTACTATGTCATAATGAAGAACTGTACAACTTATCCTACTAAATAATTTCCTTCACTTTGATAATCACAGAGGAATACATACAGTACTGTTGTGTCCCAGATTTTGAAATAAAGATGACATTTTTCTGGATTTATAGCTCACTATTTTCTGATATCATCACAGAAATACTAGAATCATACTAGAATCATAAGGGAGTGGAGCATCTCCCTTATGAGGAGCGGCTGAGGGAGCTGGGTCTCTTTAGTTTGCAGAAGAGGAGACTGAGGGGAGACCTCCTTCATGTTTATAAATACATAAAGGGTGAGTGTCACGAGGATGGAGCCAGGCTCTTCTCGGTGACAAACAATGATAAGACAAGGGGTAACGGACACAAACTGGAACACAGGAGGTTCCACTTAAATTTGAGAAGAAACTTCTTCTCAGTGAGGGTGACAGAGCACTGGAACAGGCTGCCCAGAGAGGTTGTGGAGTCTCCTTCTCTGGAGACATTCAAACCCCGCCTGGACGCCTTCCTGTGTAACCTCATCTGGGTGTTCCTGCTCCGGCAGGGGGATTGGACTGGATGATCTTTTGAGGTCCCTTCCAATCCCTAACGTCCTGTGATTCTGTGATTCTGTGAATCAAGTAGTGCTGCATGTCTGCCTATGGAGAATACGTGCTTAGGCTTGTCACTGACTGGACTTGGGGACACAGCTGCAGCAGCTTTGTCTTTATTGGGCTACTGGATTTGGCAACTTCAAGCAATATTCTCACAGAAAAAATAGTAGTAAGAGCCTTAACCATGAAACTATTTGTAATTTCACATTTCTATTGAGTTGAACAGTTCTCTGTAAGAACATGGAGGGATATAAAGCAAATAAAAAATTTCAGAAAAATCAAGTATTCCAGAGACAGCTTTCTTTACATAAATTCATTTTGAAAAGTTTTGAATTATTTCACAAACAGTGTTTCCTGGGAATAAATAAAATTTGTAAGCAGCACTTAGTGTTCAACTGAAAAATGCTTGTTAATAAGGTCCTATAGTACAGCCAGTATTTACTGCCCTAAAATGAACTTGGATTTAATAGACATGCACTTACCATCAGCAGTATGAAGGAGTTTATGGCTCTTCAAAGTGCTTTTTGATTTGAACTTTTTCTCACACATATCACAAAGGTGAGTTTTCTCAGTGCTGTGACGATTCATGTGGGCTTTCAAGTTACTCTTGCTGCGAGTGGCATACTCACAGAGAGAACATTTGAAGGGTTTGACACCTAAAAGTAGAAAATATACTATGAAACACACAAGCTGTACCTTTTGATGAGATAGTGGACATTTGCTTGAAAGAAATTTCAGATCGTGTGAGTAACACAGACAACAAGGTCAACATTTTAAAATTTTGATAGCTACGTTTAAGAAATGTCATCTAGAGCTTCTGTATAAATGATACCGAGCTCTTGATGGCATCATTTAACTTACTAAAAGAATGGAGGGGTGCTTTTAGAATTAAATACTTCTCTATTGAACCCAGGTACTAAGTGCAACCAAGCAAATGCTAATATTTTGGTCTTGGTATGCCCATCCTTTATTTAAAAGTAGAATCCAGACTGCCTAAGTTAATGCCTAGCTGGTGCACAAACCAAGTGTCCCTCTAAAGTCTTCAGATAACTATTGTTCTCTATTTGCCACAATAAAGAATGAAGAAATCTATTTTAGGACGATTGGTTCATTAGGTACTTAATATGTAAGCACAAGTCAAATGTGCAAAGCTGTATTTTACTGTTAATTAGCATCAGATTTGCTAATGGCTCATGCAGTTGTACTTTTTTTTTCCCCTTGGTAAGATCCAAGCACTTAAAATTTCACTTCTCTCAAACCGCCCAAAGCATGTAATAGAGAGATGCACAGTATGTCATCTAGCAGAAGGTCTACAAGAACAAAGTAAATCCTTCAAAGAAAAGTTGAATAAATCTGAACTGGCAGAGTAGTTCAACAGCTTCATGAGGCTCTGGCAGTTTTAGATTGATATTCATGACCTTAACACTAGATTTACAAGCATGACGAATTATAGCCTACGTTAAGCAGACTTGATTGCACACTTTGATTTTGGAATAAATTTCCATTCACCTCTTTCTTCTGGTAGTCAGATGAGACAGGCTCCAAGCTTTCTTGGCAGAATAAACAAACTGTATCTATGGAATACACAAGCAATTGCTCTCAGCCTACAGTTCTGGATTACCTCAACTCCTTCATGGAGTAAAGGCCACTGGAGAGGACTACTACTGTAGTACACAGGTAGGTAAGCATTCAAACAAATATGCAGTACTAAGATAAACGTCTGAACTAACTACATAGGCACAAATACTCTGTAACCAAAATATCAGTTCAAGAGTACCAAATCCCATTGTACCCTTCACGCAGAGGGATGGCAAAGGAATCCAAAATAATGCTCAAACGCCATAGGCAAGCCGTTCCATAAACTATTCACTGACTAAAGAGCTTATGAGTGGTTGTCAACCTGTTATAAAAATAGACAGATTGAGCAGATACAAAATTTTACTGGGCAACAATTATCACTTCAAGGGATTTTTAACCTGAGTGTTGCCATATTACTGGAATCTCTCCCTATAAAGTGACAGATATGGTCAGCATTACCTTACAGGTTTTTCATCACTATTTATGTCCATGTCAGCTAGCTGCCATGCTCTCATGATTTAATTAAAACACACACAGAAGTTATATACATACATCAAAGCAACTGAATTTCAGTTGTTTTACTAATAGATTTCCAGACCAAGTATTTTTGGACAAATGTGAAAGGAGCAGCAGTTATTAATGAGAAGTTATAGAAAATTACTTGTTTTAAGAGACTGAGCATGTATTTAATTCACTCCTCCTCACTCACATTTATTACAGAATACTTTATGAAGATTTATGAAAGAGTTCTGGAAAAAAAATGGAGTCATAAGCTTATTAATATTATTTAACATTTAAGCTGTCTACTCAAGTTATGAGTGTGCAGTTCCATATGGGATCCAGAATCTATTAAACTAACTATTTAATCTCTACTGTAGCTTAAAGTTTTTGACTCAGGTATAGCAATAACTTTGAATTCCTTTTTATGTCAGCAAAGCTTATGTGGAATATATGATTAACCAGAGTTTTACCTTCATGAGCCCAAATGTGACGCTGAAGGTCTGATCCATTCTTCATAAAATAAAAATCACAGTAGGGACATTTCACAGCTCGTTTTCCAATAAGTCCTTTCAGCTGAACTCTTCTGCCAAGAATCTCAGAAATAGTAGCCATTGAAACCTCTGAGAGAAAAGTTAAAGGTAGTAAAAACCAGAAGGACACAAGGGAATTTGGTCTATGTTATACAAGTAATACTAAAGAGCTAGGTTCTTATCCACTCCAACTTTTTACAAACTTTACTTCTAGGCCCTTCGTTCATGACTGCAGATCAGTATGTCTGATCAGTAGGGATCTATGAGAGCTGATGCCTCTCATGCCTCAGAACTATGAACAAATTTCATATTAAATCAGACAGTGGATGGAAAGGTTCTGAGAAAAATTCTGAGAGCTAGGACCAGAAACCAAGATTCCTCCTTCACTGCTGAGAACCTAAATCATTTGGCAATAAAGCCAAGCTCTCTTTTCTCTTTGGTTTGAAAGACTGCTCCACCGAACTCTACAGAGATTTTTGTCCCACTGCCTTCATGAGACCACAATTCAACTTCTACTCTCAGCAAGCCTAGGAGGTGAAGCAGTACTGGTTTATTTCATATTTTCTATTTGATGAAACAGAAGAGGCAAGAAAGAGGTCATGCTGAATGATACTAAGAAAAGAAGGAGAGGGGAGATCCAGAAATAGCATTTTAATGATAAATATGAAAGGGTTTCAGTTTAAATTAATTTTTGATATGCCATTTTAAAATTCAATTCCTTTTAACAGTATCTATTTTTTCCTTTCATCTTTATTATTTTCCATTTACATTTTTAAAAACAATTGCACTCATTCCACTGCAGTACTTGATAGTTTATACCATCAGATCCCTTACATTTATTTGCCTTGTAATTAAGTACGTTGTACGAATAAAGGATTTTCTCCTGATTACAAGGACAGCATGCACAGGAAAAAGATTTGTGAATTAATTCTCCTCCGTATATCAAAATAGTGTTGTCGCATAACTACTGCATAGGAATATCTTAGATGTAGTATTTCCTTAGTACCATGGAGATACACCCAATAAATCTCGTATTTTACTTCTAAGCTCTATTCGCCTGCAATATCTGAATTAAAAATGAGGACACAAAATAATAGGCTGTGCAGGTTTTCTTTTTTTAACCTTACTTCTATTGTAACCCAGAGCTTAAAAGAACCCACATTCCTGGATCAAAAAATTTACGCTATACTTTTAAAGAGGTTCAGATAACAAACGAACTGTTCAAGAGTATTTAAATGCATGAGTTTAGCATGTTAATGCTCCAGACACAACTGGTATTTCTGGATCCCAGACACAGCATACACTGATAACACAGCAGTCACTGGACCAATGCAGACCAGTGGCAACCTGTAATGTACTACTAGTTCACAGATTTTACTATTTAGGCAGGCCTCATATACTCCCTGGCTGGGACAACAAAAAGGCTTTATAGGCACAAGACTCAATTTCTGTTCTTACTGGGTGACACATCTCCTGACTACACTATAGCACAGAAGCCTTTCCTCATCTCAATCTGTTGCATGGGGCAGATCCCCTGCTGACAAGCCCTGCACCAACCACACTGTTGTAGAAATAAAGGTTTGGTAACTAAAGAGCTGAAATGGGAAGCAGTCTGAAATTCAAGTGAAGGAAATTGTTTAAAACACGGGTCTAGCACTATCTAGTGGCAGCAGGGAGATAAGAAACTGTTGCTTTACCTGGTATGCTGTACTTCAGACAAAGACAATAAAAGTTAAGTAATTTTAATTGGATTTTTCCTTCCCCAAACTCAGTTTGAGGGTGGCTGGTATTTTCTTTCTTAATATCAAATTATGTCAGGTGGTATCACTGGAGAATGAGTTAATTAAAGTATGTTGGCCAATGCAGACAACTCTGCTTCATCCACATTAGTAGTGGTTCTTTCTATTCAATATAATAGACAGTGAGGAGGAAGGTATGGACGCACCAGCGCGGCCCTGCCAAGTTCACATCGGTCAGACTTAAATCAGTCCCTCCACCAATCACCTGGGTACTTTGGCACTGAATTCCCAAGATTTGAGGAAGGATTGTTTACTCAGGCACAGCACACTGACTTTCTCCATTCAATTTATGTTGTGCTTGCACTGATAAATCAGGGTGCTACAATGCAAGGTATAAATGGAGTTTGATTGGACACAATGATGTGCAGTAAACGCCTTTCTGTCAGTTTATGTATGGCCAATGGGAATTTTATTTCTTGTGGGTTCTTACAGGATGTCTAAATGCCTAATTCCAAACTTGCCGATGCTTAATTTGAATTCACCCAGGTCCTCTTTTGGAAATGAGTTCTTCACCAGATGAAGACAGATTTCTTAGCACGATTTCCTGATATACTTCACAACACACAAGCTGGAAAAAATAACTTTATTTACTCTAAATTCTAACATCTGCAAAACCAATATAATTCTTACTTGAAACCGGTTAAATTAGATGTAGACTCTCTTCTCTTTCTTTGGAATGTAATCACATTACACTGCTCATTCTAAACCCTTATCCATTTATTCCAATAGACAGAAATTTTCCTTGATTTTGCTCTTACCAGGGTGATTTGTCTTGATGTGTGATTTTATAAGTCGATCTTCGGAAAATGACTTCTCACACACAGGACAGGAATAACTCTTTTTATCCTTAAGAAAGAAATAAAGAAGGAAATTGCATTATCAGTTCACATGTGTAATCACTATAGGCATTATTCAGTAATACATGGTTCCCAATGAAGTCATAATTGAAGGTTCAGATTTTAAGGAAAAAATAAAGATATTTAGAGGAAAATAAGTGAAGGAGAAACATTAAAGTATTCTAAGCACATCATTAATCTTCATGAATGAAGGACTCCAGGCTGCAGCACAGAAGAATATGTACAATAAATGTAAGCATTATCTTGTGGGTGATTCTTTAGAGAATCAAGAGTTGAAAGATCAAGTCACATAACAGAAGAAAACATACTTTAATATGAGCAGCAATATTCAGGGGGTTTTTAGGGTTTTTTTTTCACAAGTCCACCATTCTGAATCCTAAGAATGAAATCTCATCATTCTAAAGAAATCCACCAGTATGTGTATTTATAATCCTACTGAATGGCCTGAAATTGAGCAGAAGACTAAACAATGACAGATGCCATTACTTACAGAGTGTCTACATTTTTAACTGCTTTATAAATATTCATATTATACATATTATACATAAATACTCATAATATCAATGAAGTATTATTCTACTATTTTGATTTAAAAACTTACAGATGGGTTTTTATCAGTGTCATTGATGTCACACCATCAAACAAGTTGGTCTGGAGAGTTTTGATGCAGTTTCTTCCTATATGCAATTTAAGTGTAACAAATGCATCTAACTTCACATAAAAATACAGGACTTCTCTCCATTAATTGGCATATTAACCAATTTAAAATAATCTTTGCTGCTTATTGTATAAATGGAAGAGGTTGTTATTTCCAGAAGCATCTGCTGACACAACAGAGTGGATGCTCAATCAGATGAGTGGGTCACCTCCTCACCTCTGCACTGACCCTATGAATGCATTAACATGTGAATAGATCATCAAAACAACAGATGGAGTGAAGAAAGCCTACTTAGTCCTGATGACTAGACAGGTAATCAGATAATTTATTACCTGGTGGGATGTGTACCTACCAAACTACCAGGAGATCACTGGAAAAGGCGAGCTGAAGCTACAGAACAGATATGTCACTAGATACATCAGGGGGACAGAAAACTTCTTGAATAGCATGGAAGGAAGATTACTGTATCGAAAAAAGACAGACCCCTGGGTTATGAAAGAGAAATTCAGAGACCAAAGAGCATCTCTCAATATTGAGGAAAAGTGTACAAGGAAGTTATTATTGTCTATATGCCACAGTTACACATCTATAAATGGACATCTCTCTTAAAAGAAAAGCAAAAATTGATGGGTTTTCATGGCAAACAGATTTTGTAATATGACGTAGGTATTTGCATTCAGAATCACATACCTCTGAGAAATAAATCCTTATGTTGAAGTACCCACAAGTTAAAAGCAGAAGTAGCCCTAGAGCTCATGATCTGAACTAGCAATAAATAATTTCATGACAGTAGGATAGGGTCTCCCAAATGATATAACCTATTATCCCTAAACCTGCTGATGATGATCTTAGACTTCTACATAAACAAGTTACTAAATGAATAATGGTAGATCAATTGCAATAAAGCTCTATAGCAATGGCTGCACCTTTTCAAAGACTGAGTTGCACAATCACATTCAGAATTGGGCACATAGAGGAGAAACATGAGCACAGCATTATTTAGGGGCCGTTGAGGGACCAGATGAGATTTTTTTGCAGATCTCAGTCTGTTCCTCAAACTTGCTATATAACCGTTTCCAAAATATATAATAAATGGGGGAATAAATCAGTATATTTTTAATGTACTGCTGGGTATTGCTGGTCTTTAATACTCATTCATCGTATAAAGTATTTCTCAGGGTGCCCAGAACAGTGAGAAATATACACCTTGCTGTTTCATAAAGTTACATTTAGTAAAACAGAACAAACAAACCTCCACTCCACATACCCTACTTTCAGTAAAATGCTGTAACTGTGACACCTTTACATTCTTGTGGTTACTGCTCAGGAAGACAAGGCTATTAGGCTATGCCTGAGAGAGAAAAAGCAAAATCATCAGTCAATGCATCAAGAGCTATATAGCAACAGGAAAGTACAGGCACCAAGAACACATCTTTCCAGATGATGATGGTAAGAAAATAATATAAATAGCTTTCTTCAAGCAGTCAGAAAGTGATCGATACCAAGTTCTGCAGAAAGTTATCTATACCAAGTTCTGAAGCCAAACCTGTCACGGTTGGTTGTTCAGGTTGGTGCCACAGACTTTCAGAGTTTATGTTATTAGCTTTGTTTAAGTGTACTTCAGTAATTGCCCTGAGAGTTTATGACAGTGCTGGTCCTTCAGTGTAACCCCATCACTCTCAAAACCAGTTTTTAAGGAATCCTCTGTTGCAAATGATGTATTTCAGAGCACCCAGGTCACACCACAAAGCCTCAAAGAAGGTCTCCCCCACCACAGCCTTAGCTCTTCAGAGTGGCCTTGTCATAGGCAATGACGGAGGCACTTTGGAGGAGTTTGAAGTTGTAGTAAAACCTTCATCACGTTCTCGGCACACAAGTTTTCCTCTGGTAAGAATAAAAGTTATTCATCCTATGCCTGATCAGAGAGTCTGCCTTTTAAATGTATTTGATGGGGTTTTTTTGAAGGACACAAACAGATGCAAAGTATCAAAAGAGATGGATCTACCTTTGTTAGAAACCAGGAGAATAGTCCAATCTTCTACTTAAATTTCAAAGTCACAGTCACACTTTCTGAGATTTGCTTAATCTCCCTACTAGCCAACTTGAGAAAATGTAAGAAGCTTCAAATAACCCCAAGATCAAGTTAGCTTCCTGACTGAAAGTCCTGTTCATATGACACAAATCAGGAATGAATTAGCATCATAAATATTCCTAAACCCAGTGAAAAATTTAGTCTAATTCTATCACATAATTTGCTTGTTTATGCTATGTTTCAAAATAAGGCCACTTACATAGGAATGGCTTTCTCTTTATATAAATGAATTAAAATTGTGCTAAGAAAGCATCAGGTCTTTTCCACTACCAATTTACAGCTGCCTGAAGAGAATCTTGTTTCTCTAAGGCCTGTGTTTCAAGATAATTCAAGAGGTAGTTGTACTAGCATATAGTCACCAAATAAAACGAAAAGTCTCTGTAGACGTAGCATTTAAACCAACAGACCGCTACAAACTTCATTTAATGAATCAAATAGTACTAAATATGACCTACACTGCACAGTGTCACAAACATTAGCAGCTATTCTATTGCACTCACCATAGAGACAAGCTCTGATGACACAAGTATCTTCCCTTATGAAAATATATAGAATACATAGGATGATATACAGAGTACACGTGACCATATATTATATGATCTATTTTGAAATTCTGCCACTAATTTCAAAAGAGACTGAGTGAACTCTAGACTGCTTTGTTATGAATGTCATTAAAAGTGTAAAATTAGGACCATGGCCATAATAAGACATGTTCAGGCCCAAATTGTACAAATATGTAATAGAAATCAACAATCCATTCCTTCCATTTTAGTAGTAGTGAGATGATTTTATGAGCAGGAAATAACTCAGTTAACACTACATTTGATTGTGTAGTTCTGTAGAGGAATAGACAGCCAAAGCCCACTCCTGCACCTACTCAGATCAACAGAAATTTAATTTCTAACACCTATAGGAACAGAATTAGGCCCCCGAGTTACACTTCTGAGGAGTGAAGACATCCAGAAATCTTCACCACAGTTGTCATGATGTTCAAATCAAAACTCTCATGAAAGATTACTGAATTAAGCAGTTGTCCTATTAAAATGCAACTTAGTTAAACAGATCTGATGTACCCAGGAGGCAGCCATGCACACGTGTGAAGGAGGCTACAGACAAATTTGCAAATGGTTAGACAGACTTTTATGAAGTCTGCCAAGCAGCAGAAATCACTGCTTATAAAATGACAAGCACCTGTGTACTGTACTGCTTAAGTAGCTTTCATTAAAAAACCACTAGTGAAAATGAATGGCTGGCTGACATTCATTATGGAAGTGAGGAGCAAGAACAAAACCCATTTTCCAACCAAATACCCAGTCATTGGACCATACATTTTTTTGTTAATTCCTTCCCTCTCTGGTTCCTTGAATTCTTGACTACAAAGTGGCACCACTCCAGAGGCACAGATAGCACAGATCAGGGATGGTCTGGAAATGAAGGATCCTCAGGAAGGGGAAACAAGTATCTGAGCTCGAGTATCTCACTTCCTACCGAAAGCTCGAACTACGCTGTCACATGAAGGGTCAGCAGCTCAATGAAATTTCTAAGCACCTTTCCAAAGGCAAGAATCATTTATATCCAGAAACATATGTGAATGAAGATATAGGCACCTCAGTGCAAGTGGCAGTTCTGGCTTTTAACTCCAGTTTTACAAAGTTGCTTATATTGGGAGTATCAATTATGTTTGTAGATTTAAAATCATTTCAGACACAAACCCCTCTGTGATGTTCAGCTGCTCAGCATACTCGGTATTGTAGAACCCACTGGAGGTCGTAAACAAGCTCTGGTACCTACATCAGCGATGTTTAGTTCCACAACTGGTCTCTGATGTTACCAGTAGCTCACTGACAACTGTAAATTATTCTACAATCATTATAAACTGCCTATCCCTTTCCTAGGTACCACAACACTGAAGTGATTCATATGTGTCATGGTCTGAACTTCTAAAAGAGCTCCATAAATGCCAAGAATTGTCAAAAACCACTTACACAAGCCTTAGAGGTAAAAGACAGGTACTCAAAATGAGAGAATATACACAAAATTTTGGTTTTAAATCAAGCAGAGCCTCAGTTCCCAGACTTCAAAAATAAAAAATCTTCCCTGTAACAACAATGTGCAGCCAACACTGAGGCAACAGGCAGCACAGTCCCCATCATCATCCCCCAGGGAATAAACAATTCCAAATTCAGTGCAAGACATGGATGGTGCATAGAGAATAAAATGGGTGGCTATATACTGAGCGACAGGGATGAACAGTAAGCTGCTTTCTAATAACCATCATTTATCCTCTTCACCAAATAAGGGATCCAGTTGAAAAGCAGCGACCAATAAGGTAACAAAAGACAGGCATTCTTTCAAGGACTTGAAGTGAGATTTTGGTATCTTCTATCTCCATAGAAGCTTTAAATTTAGTTTTTATAAATAATTTATATTAACATTAAAGTAGCACATTTAACTGTGCGTAGTTTGTTAAAGTACTGTATTTTGGAATGAGTTCAGTGAGGGATGCAATAATTAAATATACCAAGCAGCAGGCACAAAGGCCAATATGAGAACTGCCAAGTTTAGTTACTGAGTAAATTCTAATGCATGATTTTTTCAATCCATTTAAATACTCAGATATATTTGACAGTAAGCATCAGTAAGCACACTTCTCAAAGATCTCGCTGTCACACTGTTTTTAATTAGGAAACGTATCTTCTTGGCTCTGTTTAGTACCATGAAACTGATCCTCCTGGTGGGAGCTCTTGGACATTCATCACACCTGAAAAACAGGTAGTTATGTAAGGATACAGGATATCCAGTTTTAGACTCTTTTTTCTTAAGTAGTCTCAGATATCGTTTATGCAGGTTTTTGCCATCAGACGGACATCATAAACATAATGAATTCAAAAGCAGCCTAAAAGAATGTCTATTATGTGAGCTTTCTGCACATTTCATAACGAATTCAGATTCTGTTTAAAATACTACAAAATTGGGGGACAAAAGGCAGAAAAAATGTCCTCTTTTGTGTCACCCATTTATTTTGTTTTTAAGCTGTCCTGCAGTTACAAAAGATGAGCACTTAACAAGAGTAGGAGGTGAAGTGTTTTGTTGTATTACAAACAGCTTTAAGGCAACTTCATCTGTTGGAAATATCGGCCAGGAGCCTACCTGCTGACTGCAGATGACCTGAAACCACCAGGCACTGTGTGTTAACAGCTTGTTTAAGGAGCTATGCAGAAATTGTCCACATCTGGGGAAAAATTAACATGAATCCTTAATTAAAGCATCACCTTTCACTTGTAAAAGGAAGTGTGACAACAGTTTCACAGTACTTGGAGTTGTGATGTTGCTTTCTCATGTAACACATCCTGGTGTATTCCATCAAGGGTCCATAAGATTTAATTACAAGACAACGGCAGTAAAAAAAATAAGCATGAAGAGAAGCCCATCTGTGTGAATATTTCCTTGTTCTTAGAGGACAGAAGAGTGAATGCTGCTATTAAACGACTGATATTCTTCTCTCCTCTGCTGGAGTAAGAATAAATATACATTCAAGAGAAGAGTAAGTGACCTTTTGGAAGCATTTTACTGCATAAATTATTAAAAACCCAAATTGCAAGGACACAGTTTATGCCAATTTTATGGCATTATCAGCCAAGAAAATTTAATTACAAAAAGCATGCTTGCCAGATATCTGATGGAATCCTGAACCGTACTTTATTCAATGCCAGTATCTTCATATCAAATCCTATGAGGTTAACATAGAATCACAGAATCATAGACTGGTTTGGGTTGGAAGGGACCTTAAAGCTCCCCCAGTCCAACCCCTGCCATGGGCAGGGACACCTCCCAACAGACCAGGCTGCTCAAAGCCCCGTCCAACCTGGCCTTGAACACTCTTTTTAACACAGTGGCATTCAGAACTGGAAGGCTTCCTGAATGAGATAGGAGCCTTTAAAATGAGAGGCCACACCTCGAGTACTGTGTTCAGTTCTGGGCCCCTCACTAGAAGAAGGATGTTGAGATTCTGGAGCGTGTTCAGAGAAGAGCCACAAGGATGGTGAGGGGTCTGGAGAACAAGCCTTATGAGGAGCGGCTGAGGGAACTGGGGTTGTTTAGCCTGGAGAAGAGGGGTCTCAGGGGAGACCTCATCACCACCTACAACTACCTCAAGGGAGGTTGTAGAGAGGTGGGTGCTGGTCTTTTCTCCCAGGTGATGGAGGATAGAACAAGGGGAAATGGCACCAAGCTGTGGCAAGGGAGGTTCAGGTTAGAGATAAGGAGGAAGTTCTTTACTGAGAGGGTTGTCAGAGGCTGGAACAGGCTGCCCAGGGAGGTGGTGGAGTCACCATCCCTGGATGTATTTAAAAAGCGGGTAGATGAGGTACTTAGGGATATGGTTTAGGGGGTAGACAGGAACGGTTGGACATGATGATCTCAGAGGTCTTTTCCAACCCAGCGATTCTGTGATTCTGTGTGATTCTGTGAGACTTCTTCATCTTTGTAGCCTCAACAGAAAATAGCTGATATTCAAAGAGATTGGCTGCAACCAGATGGAACTATTGGGAAAAAAGATTTCTTATCAACAACTTTAACTTCTTCTGTCTATAGTAATTAAGAAAGGAACAAGATTTCATTTTGCCACCATCAACTATTTATGAAGGAAGGGAATTCAGCTGCAAGGAATGAAGAAAAATACCAACAGTATAAGACCTCATTTTACTCTCTCAAGATCCAAAGAATCTGAAAATACCAGGAAAACCAAAGGGAGAAAATGGACACAGACACACTTTACTGGAAAATACTACAAGAAGGACTGAATATTTAGTTGCTATAACTCATATATTTCCCTGTACAGAAGTACGCCGAGAGCGCTCAGGTGAGAACTCCAACCTGCGTCTTCAAATATTGCCACACAATTCCAAACACTACAACGGTGATACCAAATTTAGACAACCAAACCGTGTTGTTTGTCTCTTACCAGTTCGGTGTGAACTTTAAGATGTGCCTGGAGCTTGTATTTATCTGGAGTGGAGTAGTCGCAATGTTCCGTGGGACACCTCAGCAAAATGTTGCTGTGTTTCTGAATGACGTGGCGCTTAAGGCAGTTTTTGGTGATGGAAGAATAGTTGCACTGGGAGCAGTAATATAAATGTTCTCGGGTATGCGTACGAACGTGCATGTCATAATGCACTTGGTACCAAAACAACTTGCCTGAAAATAAAATAAGACACAAAGAAAGTAATTTCTAGACAATCATTAATGAAAATTCCAATACAGAACCAATTTACTTTTAGGGCAAAACACACTGTTTGAATCCTGTCCCTTTTCCATTTAATGAAAACTTATCCTAAAGAACTATCACTACTGAAAATATGTTTACAAAAAGCACTTCTGTCTAAAAAGATTGTCCTATGTCCTGAAACAGCCTAACAAGGGCAACTTTAATACACAGCAATGATCTCCCCACTAATGAGAAAGCCCTTTAAATATGTTCTTCTATACAAAGAATCTTAATGCAACTGTACAGTAAACGACATTGTCAAAATATTTTTTGCTACTGCCTTTTATGTTACTCCTTCCTAAAAGCTTTTCTGACATAATGGTACCAAAAAGTGCTGAGCAATTCATTTAATGTACAAAGTTAGGGCATTTCAAAAACTCTTTTTTTCCAAACTTTGATTCCTTTCCCTTCTCAAGAATGAAGGCTACATGATAAATCCCAAATTGGTTCCTTTCCAGTTATGTAAACACCAAATTCTTCTGTTAGAATCAATGGCGATGGTGTATTCTTAACACCTTCACAAATTTAAAAAAAAACAAACCAGAATGGGAAGAGTCTTGATCTGATGCTATGTAATGAAAATTTTCATCTCAAAAAAATTGGTTCAAAGCAAGTCACAAAAATACGCCAGTGCAGGTATCTGTTGTACAGAATGTATATTATCATATATCCTCCCATTCTCCCATGGAAAAGACTCTGAATTTTATACTGAGCTGCTAATGAAGCTTAAGCGTTAAAGCATGGCCTGGCTAATGCTGATCACATGCCTAAATCTGCTGTGCTTGGCTCCATCGAAAGTTACGAGGTGAGAAGGGACACGTGGACAGAAAGAACCTAATTCTATCAAATCTCACACCAATGGAAAATTGAGGCTAACCAAGCACTGCTTTGCTATATTCCACTAGTGGTGCTTTGGAGGAGATTTGAGTCATTTCACACCATTTATATGGCCCAGAGTAAATATCGCTGGACTCCAGAATCCACACTGAACCACAAAATTAATTCTGCTACAAAGATACACAAATATATCAAAAACTAAGCCAGTGGAGCATGAAAAAAATGGCACGCTATGTAACATTTAAAAATATCTAATTCTACTACTCCTTACCACAATATTCACATTCCAAGTCTCCATAAACTTTCCTTATCCTCTCACACAACTCCGTGTTCATTTGTCTCTTCTGCAAGCTGTCCAGGATCTGCATAAAGGCGACGGCTCCACTCTGACCGTCTGAAGGAACCGCACTGGAAGAGGCTGCCCGTGGACCGGTGGCTGCATCAGCTTCTGGTGCTGGCAAAGCCTTTGTGGTTTCTGCTGAGTTTTGACTTGGCGGATCGCTTGTTTCTGGCTCACTAGAAGGAGCAGATTGATTTCTCTCTTCAGAAATCAAAAGGTTCTCAGTCACTTCATTGGTCTGGCTTGGATTTACACCTCTGTCTGAAGACAACAAAAGCTGAATTTCTTCTCCCTCTTCATTTACAGAAGTGCAGTGATTTACTTCCTCTTCATTTGCAGGAGAAACTTTTAACTCATCAGGACCAGAAGTGCTGTTTTTCAGCAGAAAGCAGTCTGACCCGACACAGGATTGAACGTTTGGGGCTGCTATGTCTGTTGTCTGACATAGTGCCTCTGTTACAGCCTCCACCGGAGGATTTTCAAATTCCAACAAAGGGACCGCATCAATTTTTAAGTCACCATTATGTTGACTGTTATGGTTTACATCTGCAGCTCTTGATTCACCTTTACAAGAGGACGGTTGTGGCGTGTTAATAGCATTAGTACTCGTGAAGGTTGATTCATCTGCACTTTTTACTGGCTGTTCACCAAGGGCTTCTGGCTGGATATCACCTCCAGGCTCAAGCAGGCAGAAACTCTGATTGATGGAGCTATTAAAAACAGAAGTCTCCTGCAAATCCGCGTGCACATCTTTGATGTGAGCACGGAGTCTTACAGAACTGACAAATTTCTTCAGGCACACAGAACACACGTAAACAAAGGGGTGTTTGCGCACATGAAGCTCAAGGGCTTGGTATTTAGTGGCTCCATGACCACAGAGCTCACAAGCAAAGGGTCTTTCATCGCCGTGAACAAGCATGTGGCGGTCTCGATCGAGTTCATTTTTGAATCTGCGTTCACAAATATGGCAGTCATAAAGAAGCTGTCTTTTGCCCTCTCGTGTCATCAAGCGAAGCTCATCAAAAACAACCTTCACCATTTTATCCTGGAGGTCATGTGTTTCCTTGATATGCTTGATCAAATTTTTAACATCTGAGTACTTCTTTTTGCAGAAGTGACAATGCTGCTTAATTTTCTTATGAACTCTTTCAATATGAACTTTGAGATGCCCTTTGCTGAGACAGGTGAAGGTACAGTAATCGCAGCTGAACTTCTCCCCTGTGTGTTTCCGCATGTGAACGTTGAGGTTGGCTTTGATTGCACTGGCGTAACTGCAGTATGAACACTTGTAAGGTTTTTCATTGGTATGAATCCTCAAATGCGCTTGGAGGGAGTGCTTAAATTTGAACACCTTGTTACAGTATTCACACGTAAAAATCTTCAGCTGAGTTGGACCCAACCTAAAAAGAAAACAAACCGGTTATATTTAAAATATTGAAACTTAGTGACATAGTAAGTCAAAATTTCCCTAGATATTCATAATGGACAGAAATGTTTCATTTATTTTAAAAAGGTATTCTCCACAGGCGTTTAAAATTCTACAAGTTATGCACAGATTATTTAAAGCTGTTCCTTTATTTTAAAGGCTCAGTAACTATTTAAGTTTCATGAAAATAGATAAAGAAGTGTTTCAGTCATATTCTACATGAACAGAAATATAAGTACTTCAAAATTACCTGCCGAATTTCATTGCCTGTTCATATGGGGTTTGCTGAATGGCATATTCTTGATACCCTCTTCGTTGTGATGGGTCTTGAGCTGTTGCCTCTGGAGCTGTGGGTTCACTTTCTTGGGGAGCAGCCTCAACGGGAACAATTTCTGTGGCTCCTAAAATCAAGAAGGAAAAAAAGGTCATTAAAAATGTGACATTAAAATGTGCATTGTCTATAATACACAAGTGTAAAAAAACCACTAAACTCTATAATGATTAGTTCAACTATTACTGGTTCTGTTACTAAATTCATGGGCACAACATGATGGCTGCGCTTCCAGAAGACATTAGTACTCACACCACACATCTGCTTAAGTAACGTATCAGGACTGCTGGTTCTGAGGGTTAGTCATGGTGCTCGATGCCTACTGTTATGAGATCCTATATCCAAATTCTTCCACCTTTAAAAAACAGTAACTTTTCAAAATGAATTTTTTCTGTTTCTGCCTCATACCGAATCTTTTGAAAACCTGTCAAACTGTTTAACCAGTTCCACAAATGAGGCTGGGAAAAAGGCGCTGTTTAGTCTCCATTTAAAAGTCTGCATATCTTTTCCTTAAACAGATCTTTTATTGCTTATATTTTGGGGCATGTTGCCACCTCCTCAGAATGAAAGAGTATGTTACATGTGCACTTCTCAATCTCCATATCAAACCAAGCACCCATTATTGATTGATCCTCTCCTTTTTGACACCTTTGTCTGTAATTTACTGACCCTCGTGTTCAATGAGAATGCTGTTATCTTCAAAAGTTGAAACTATATTTATTTGTATATGCATGGATTTATTCACATATATATTACAATTATATAAAAATATGTGAAATCTTCATATTCTACTAAAAAGTACTACGGAAAAATCTTTTAATAAAATAAATGTTCGGTTCTGGTGTGATACTGAAAAATAAATAGCAAATAAGGGACCATATACTGAATAACAAAAAGCAAGTAAGACATAGAACATGTAGTACTAGATGAACACCCATCCATCCTAGGAAAAAAGTATTACAGGACCTATAATTAAGGACTGATCTACCATATACTGGGGACAAGGAAGCAAGAGAGGTTGCACATGAAAATATCTTGAATTAAATAACAAAGCTAAATTCAGATAAAACTGAAATTTGGAAAGTTTCCCTTTATTTCATTTTTCGTGGATATTACGTTAGTATTTGATCTCATCTCAATTCATCCGATTAGAAGCTGAGGGGGAAAAAAGCAAAATGCATCTTAGTGACAGAGGAAAGAATTTATAATAAGAATCAAAGAAATCTGAGACATGAGAGTCTGGAAAGAGCCTAGAAAGTAAAAGCCAGAGTCAACATACTCAACTTATTTAACAGTTTCTCCCTATTATTCATATATAAATATATATAAAATTAAACACCAGAATAGAAAGTTCAAAAAACAAGGTATAAGCTACTTCTCATATATGCAGTATTAACATGAAGTCTCTGAAACAACAATTATAAGAACAAACCTAAACCACAGAGCAAATGAGCTGGTTAGCAAATTACTAGTTTCCATAAAAAACCTTTAGCCTGCAGAGTAGCAAAGCATCAGGAAAAATGCAGGTAGAGTATACAGGAAAAATCAGTCTCAAGTGGGGGTTACCCAGCAGCGTGTGTGAAAGACTCAGGGACATTAAGCTGAGGAGAGCAGTGCTGCAGACAAGTCAAGGGAGGAAGATGGAGATCCTGTGGGTCCTGCGGAGTGATTTAAAGTGGGAAGTGGAGATATTTTGAGAAGAGGCCATTTGGGAGCATGTAAGCTACTGAAGGGTTTTGTATCAGATGGGACGTCAGCCAGCTCTGTAAATAAACAGACTGGAATAGCTCTGTTACTCACTGAACTGGCCAGATCTGAAAATGGCTTTTTTTTGACTAATAATGCTTTCAGTTGTGTAGTAAAGATTCTGCCAGTTGATCTGAACCAATATTCCAAGTCCTTAACCTAACTGTTGCCAGAATATTTTAACTTCTGTTCTTCCTGTTACCCTCAAATGCCAGACCGTCCAGCAGGACCGCATCTCCCAGACTGCACTCCAGTACCTGGTGAGATGGGAGCTTGTCATCACAGTTCAGAAGACGTACTTCAATCAGTGAGTTCAGTACGAAGATGATAAAACAGACATTAGACACCAAACCAATGTCAACATATTTCAATATTTTTAAAATAGAAGCAAATTCTTCTGTATTTAGAATGGCGCAGCTAAAAGAAAACAGATCTACAGGCATGGCTACATCTTTCAAGTCTCCTGTTTCCTGAATGTGAGGCAAAGATCCTCATTAAATGCTTTGCACTAAACCTCCTCTGCGCCCTTCTGCCTTTCAGGATGTTTAAGCATTTCCTGAAAAAGACTGTTGAACTGTTAACAGATTTTTGTGCTATCAGTATAAAATTTTAAACTAATGACTAATACATAGGCCCAGGAAGTGAGAAACGAGAAACTTGGTTTCTAAGGTCTACTCAACCTAATAGGGAGTGAACCCACATGTCCCATATCCCAAGAGAACACACTCACTATTTTAGTCTCTAAAAGCAGCCACAGATTAGGGAAAAGTGTAAGAACAAGGTAAACAGATACAAGGTCTGGTTTTCCATTAAAAATATAACATGTCAATAAGGAAGATAAAAGTTTTCCTAACTGTTTCCCTGGACAATCATTTCAAGAAGTCAGAGTATACAAATACAAGCAGAAAAAAAGAGGTTAACTCTACTGATAATTTCTTTCAAAAAAATCCTCTCTCCAGCACTACTATATCTCTATTTTAAATCCAGAATGGACTTTAGTTTACTTGGCTTTATTCATGCCTTTTGCTTTCCTCTTTCAGTCAATATCTGTTCTAAGTAAATCTGCTTTAAGAGTAATAAGATTTGAGTTCCTCATGACATTCTGACAGCCACTTCTACAGATAAGCATTACCCAGGGTGCCTTATCTCTGGCTCAAACTCAGTGAGGGCCTCTAATCTCTTCCAGTCTGTCCCTTAGAAAAGTAGCTTGCCCTTCACTATAAGGTTCTCCAATACTTATCAACAGTCTAAAAGGTAATCAAAACGGAAGGAATTATTAGGAATGGCTCAGAAATAAAACATGAGACATCATCAACCAAATTCCTACTAAAATCCAACTGAATTCTGTGAACCTCTTATAACTTCAAGTATGGGCTACAAAAAGGATATAGAAGAACTAGAAAACAGTAGCAGAGACAAAATCAGAAGAATTTTGTTTGGAAAAGGGAGACGTATCTCAGAGACATTCACCTTGGAAGAGAGACAAATAAAACAGGAATAGCAAAAAGACCTCTAAAATTAGCAATACTGTGAAAAAATTGTTAATAATCATCCTCTATCTCATAAACCATGAACAAAGAGCAGTTTGAAGAAATCAGCAGTCAGCAGGCTTTAAATTAAACATATGAACGTACACTTCAACCCTGCATGCAGTGAAATTATGGAACAATTACTGCACAGTATTACAGAGACTGAAAATATAAATCTATTCAAAAGAAGAGATTTAGACAAAAATAACAGGTATGTATTAAATATGATGATCCAGATGCAACCACAAGCTCAGTGGCTCTCAGAACCCAGGAGGCTTTACATTAAGTTTCTTATTTCCTTCTTATAGAGATGCTAAAGGTGCCTTCAGAGACAACTGATCCGACTGTATGAACCTTAAAAAAAACAAAGCACCGCAGCTAAGTTTAAAAAAACCTTTCATAATGTAGGTACCTTGGTATGTGCAGGTAAAATAATTTGCTAAGGGTATGAAGTGAATATTTATTTCTTACAATCTCTTTTTGAAGGAATGCATGTTTTAGCTTCTACAATATCCTCTGAAATGTACTCCATAATCATATATTCTGCAAATATACAATTAGTTTTTGAGAGTGTTTTACCACACAAGTGCATAAACACGTACAGTGCTCCAAAGGACAGGGATCTGTGGCCAGGGGGTGGGGTGGGAGGACAGCATAGCCCCTGGGACAGCAGTTTATATGTACTGGGCTTAATGATTTATACCACTTGGCTACTTTGCTAAGGAGTAGTCTCACTTCTCCTCCTTTTCCCTGAAAAACTCGTTTTATCACCACTTTCCAACTTTCCAAACTTGTGCAGCCCCAATGTGAGACAGTTCAGTAAAACTGGTTGAAAAAAATATCTCTGACAGAGTAAAAGAGCATGGGGTGTGTGTGTATATGTGTATTTATTTGCCATTTTTTTGAATCAGTTTGCCACCAGCTCACACAAGCACTACTGTTGGTGCAAGAAAGGGGAAGCGAAGTGAGAAATAAGAGACAAGCAGGAAAGCTGCCTTAGGAACAGTCTGGTATCAAATCCATTCAGACATGGCATAAACCCACAACCATCACTCTGTGAGCTACAGAAAAGAAGTAATCCTCAACAGAAAAGACTGTCAACAGCTAAACTAAGTCAGTCCCAAAATAGAAAGTAAAACAACATTCTTCTGTTTCTTCCAGGCATCCCAAAATCTCAATGGGAGAAGGACCAAGTGTTCATGAATTACAGTAGAAGGAGAAAACATTTGGCCTTTAATAGAGAGTGATTCCTCTATGGAAACTGGGCAGAGAAAAACCCACACAGTTTTGTATTAATCATTTGTAGCAGAAGAAAAATCCAACTCCTATAGAAATTAAAAAACAATTAGTATCAAGAAGTTAAATACTTTATGTGAATTTTGTATATCTTGATCTCTACCAAAAAACCCATGAATTCGACCATTGAGCATCTTTCCAGCAACTTCAAGCAACTCTCCTAGTAACAAGCTGAGTCTGTAAAATATTACAGGATTCATAAAACAACCATTAAATGTTCAAAGTAGAATCTCTCCTGAATCAAACTAATTGAGCATGAATAATAAATTGGTTTTAGAAGCTTGATAATATTACAGAATTTAAACATGGAAGATAAAATACATTAAAAAACTGAAGACTGAATATTTGGCAGAGTTTACTCACTGCTTCTTAAAATAGACTATGAACAAAAGTATCTGCCATTCACAACAAAGTATTTTAGATGTGCTTATAATTGTAGTTATTCACTCTCATTCTTAATTGCAATGCTTATGAAAAACTGCTCAGTTTGATCTGATAC